AGCACCAGGAGCGGGAGGCCATGGTCGCCCTGAGCTTCCTCAAGAAGCAGGACCAGGAGAAGGCGGAGGAGGTGCGTGCGGTGCCTCTCCCGGCCTCCTGCCCCCCTCACAGTGCCGAGTGGGCCTGGGCACCGAGCATCTCCGTGATGAGGTGTTGGAGCCGGCTCCTGATCAGCCCTGCAGGTTTATTGCACCCGTGGCACAAGGGAGGCTGCAAAGACACAGCGTCTGAGACTTGCAGGCGAGAGAGTGCAGCTGCAAACTCTGCTACTTAGTCAAGAAAAATATAGGCAGGTTTGGGGAAATAGAACTGCAGCCAGAGCTTCCCAAATACCAAAGATGCACCTTCCATATATACTGCCCTCTGGAGCAAAACTAGTAAGAGTAGTGCCTGCCTCTCAGCGTGTTTCAGACACTAGGGTCAAAGACAGATGCATGCAGTGGAAAATAATTTCCCAGTGGTTGGTCCTGGGCCTTTTCCAGTGCCAGATCTGCAGAAAGGTCTGTGAGGCCCTGGCGGGCAGGCTGAGTGAGTCAGCAGTTACAGAGCAGGGTTGTCTAGAGAGGGTTCTAGGGGATAGAGCTGAACCCTTCCATGGGCACAGAGAAGAGGCAACAGCCCCAGCCTGCAACAGAGAAATTATAAACGGACAATGAGCTCTGCTCTAAAATTGTACTCAGTTAACTCTACTGTGTTTTTTCCCCCTTTATTGGTTTATTTGAATAAGAAAGAGTAAGAAAAGCTAAATGAAGCCATATCAACATTAATAGGGAACAAGTTTGGGGATTTTTCCATAAAGAAGTTCATTTTCTCTAGTGCACTGCTATGATGAAATGTATTCTGCTATGACTGAAATTGAAATTGCCCCAACACAGAATCAGTTTAAGGGTTTTTTTACACAGCTCTTCACTGTAGCTTCCATTTTATCTTTTCTGAGTTGCTTTGCGTAAATCTTATTCCTACTTTACTTAATCCAAATATCAAAGCACCCTTTTTTTCAGTTAGAAACTGAAAATGGAATGAAGTGATTTTAACTCAGGCCTGTTCATTGGATAAGAAGGTACAAAGCTCTGGATTCCAGGGTATTGGGGAGGTTAAACAGCAGAAGAAAATTTTCCTGCTCACATCCAACAGTTTTCTCTCACCTTATATCCAGTGTCAAAGCTCTAGGATATTGTTTTTTCAACTTCTTATTTTCTCTATCTGTCTGTCCTCTTTTCACACTAGTGAACTGCTTCTCTAACACTGTGCACCACTATCCAAAACAATACGGAAGAAACCCTTCTATCTGCCTGTTTTTTTTTTCAGTAATTTACAGATGCTTTTAACTAGTATATACGGGCTTTTTTTTTTAACTTGCATTATTTTATATACTTTAGTAAAATGCTGGTGCTTTTAAAACATTTTAATATTTAAAACCAGAGAGTGAAAGCACCAGCATTTTACTAAAGTATATAAAATAATGTAGTTTAATCACTCTAAACACTGCAAGTGAGGGAACTTTTCCATATTTCTGTTGTCTTCTTATAATCAAATTTGAGGAGAAGAGAACAGCTAGGAGACTTTTTTTTTTCCTCCCTCACTTACTGTTTCTTGATTAATCTCTTCACAGATTGAGAAACTGAAGCAGCAGCTGATTGATTTGAAAAAGCAAGCGCAAGAAGAGAACAAGAAACTGGTGAATGAACTTTTCTCCTTTTCCTCCAGTGGGGTCCTCTGATTAGTCTGAGCTGTAGTTCTGATTTTAGTAAGAGGAGCAAGTTAGGGCAGCTAAATCTTAAAAGGTTTTGGGGCAAGCATCTTGTGTGGAAAGAGAACTTGAAAAAAACAATGGTGATGTGGGAGTTATCCTTTGACCATGCAGAGTATTATTCAAAATAATGACATTTTATAGCGCCTAAGTATAGGAGCCAGCTGGCTAACAGTAAAGCCAGAAACACAGAGAAAAACATGTTCCTTTGTGCTAAGACAAACAATAACTAATCTGAATTCAGTTGCAGTTCTTCATTCATTAATGATGAATTAAAACATCTTGAACTAAGAACAATATTATTTACTAATCTGGGTTCAGTGAGAAACACAGAATTTTGTAAATCACCACTTTAAGGCAATATCTCCCCCACAGAGTAGTCTGCACAACATGCCTTAGGCTAGAAAGTGCAGAAAAGGTTATAAATGGTCACACAGATTTAGCTTTACACTTACCACTCTTTTTTTTTTTTTCTTCTTCTTCTTTTAGTGGTGGGTAGGTTCTACTGAGTTTGTGGTATTTCATCTGATGATGAATTCCTGTAGACTATTGGTTTGTCAGACTTTGTAGTTCAGTATAATTTCAGACATTCAGTAGTGTTTGTGTTTATGTTACATTATTTCATGATTAGTTGTTCTGATTTTGTTTTCTACTCACTGATAATTTCTGATTTGCAGGCAGACCAATACACCCAACAAGTAAAAGAACTGGAGGAGAAATTTCAGAAAAAAGTCAGAGAAATCAGCCAAATTCAGTTAGAACTGAGATTGATAAAAGAGTTCCGCAGGAAAAAAGCAGATATGGAGAAAGAGCTGGAAGATGTAAGTTTGTTATAAGTAGGAGTTTGGAATGTTTATTTAAAAGACAACCTGCACAGCAGCACAGAAGTTGGGAGTGGTGAATGAAAACAGACGTGACCAATTTATTGGAGTGTTTTCCATAAGTGCAGTCTGCTGGGAGTGAGAAAAAGCATTAAATGGATATAATGTGTGTTTCATAAACAGAACTCACTTTAAGGATGGGACAAATAACAGGTCATAAGTAAGCATGATTGAAGCAGAACATGATTCTAGGATTTGGTTGGTTAGTATTGCGAATTACTTTCAGTTTTACTTTGTGGTGGTTTCTGTAGCCGTCCTTGTTGTCAGTGTAAAAGTAGATGCATTGCTGTGAAAATGTGATAGTGCCTTCAGTTCTGAGGAAAACATTTTTTTGTTGCAGTTAAGAGAGAGAATGGAGACCTCAAACAAGAAACATCAGGAAGTGGTTGTGAGACTGGAGAAAAAGTTCCTTGAGGAAAAGGTAAAGAGTGACAGGAAACTAAAGAATCTTTCATTACAAATATTTCTCCTGGCAATCACTCTGGTATGTAGTTTTGGCTGTTCTTTAAAGAAAATTTTTCAGTGTTCTGTGTCAATACAAGTACAATGAATGAGTTGGAAGCTAGTTGCGTCTTTCCAAGGAAAGAGGTGGGATGTCAGGATCCCAGAGAGGCCATCAGGGAACTTCGATGCCCCCTGGAGGTCTTTTTTTTTTTTTTTTTTTTTTTTTACAAAAAGTTTTGTGAGTTGAAAACTATGATTTTGGAATTCGTACTTTGACGGGTTTTTGGTTACAATAATTTTTGGATGTCAGGCAGCATTTAAACAGACTGTTCTCACTTTCAGAAAAGACTGGAAAAAGATGCTGAGAAGAAAGTAATAATGATGACAGAGACTGCCCATCGTGAGGCTGTTTTGTAAGAAACACTTGCTTTTCCTGTTTTCTAAAAAAAAAAAATTAACTAAAATTTTAATCTAAAAATTTTTAATCTAAAAAAATTTAACTCTGATTTCTAAAGAGCAAGTTGCTCGCAGTACTGCATGAGCTTTGAAGGTCTAAATAGATGATGATCTGGGCTGTTTTAAACTTCTAAATGTAAGTGATCAATATAGCCATGAGACTTAGACTGGTTCCAGTGGACGAATGGAGGTAGTGTTATCACAGTGGTACCACAGTTATGTCCTTGTCCCAGTCCAAATATAGCACTAGAGGCAAAGCTAAAAACACTTGTTACAGACTAGTAAAAACTTTATCACTTAACTCTGGCATTAGGAAACCGAAGTACTGATTTTAATATAAGCAAAATGCCAGGTTGTTATTACAGCTCTGAAGTGTTGTTCTTCCTGGTGCAGGCAGCTGAACAGCACTGGGAGAGAGGTGTTTAAGGAGAATGTTCGTCTTCATGATGCTTTTAGTTGCCACCTGAAAGAGGCAGCTGAACTGCAAAAAATCAAGAAGAAGTTAGAGGAGGACAAAACACTTCTGTTGCAGGAGAAGGTTTCTATTTTTGTTTTAATTGTATTTTATTCTCCCCCTGTTTTAATTGTATTTTATTCTCCCCCAGGAAGGAGTCTTTGAAGCCCAAGTCTGGATACAGGTGTAAGTTCACTGAGATGTTAAATCTCCCCAGTCAGAGCCCTTCACAGCTGCTGAATTCAGAGTTATCTCAACAACTCTTATTTTATCCTAATTATGGGGACAAAAGAATGAAACATTTCCTATGAAGGCTCACTAAGAATAGGTCTCTTTGTAGTGTGTACTACCCACAGCTGCCTTTATATGGCTTCTCTTGTAAACAAAATCTTGATTCTAGATCAATACTTGCTCTCCAGGGTGAAGGAGCCAACATTTTTACTAGATTGTCAATGCTGGGGAAAAATAACTGTCCTGATATGCTGCGAATAAAATAAAGCTCAAATTACTTCTCCTATCCTTTAGGAAACCAATGAGTGTTTGATTCGGGAAAAGATCTTACAGATCAATCAGCAGAAAGCACAGATTGGAGATCTGGAAGATAAAGTGGAAAAGCTAGAGATGGCCTTATGTCACATGTCCAGAGAATTTGAGACAGAGACTCAGAGGACACAGCATCAGGCGCTGATACAAAATGAAGCAAGCATGGTGGAGGTCAAAAAACTACAGCAACTACTAGAAATGAAGGATCGTGAGATGAACCGAGTGAAGAAACTAGCCCGCAACATCCTAGATGAGAGGACTGAGGTGGAAAGGTTCTTCCTAGATGCTCTATACCATGTGAAGCAGGAGATCATAGCCAGCAGGAAGCATTACAGGGAAAAGGCCCAAACTGCCTATTACAGAAAAATGATGGAGGCGTGTGCAGGGAAGGAGGAATTTCCCAAAATCAAAACATTCACAAGCAACATGAACAGCACAAACAGTGTATACAAAGACCTAGAAGAAGCAGAGAAATGCTGCTGGTATTGAAACATCAAAAATAGGTTCTGTCTTCTTAGCAGAAAGGAACTTACCTATCCCTGAAAAATTCTCTGTGTGATACTGTCTAGAATAGGAATGCTTTTGAAGGTTGAGGTACTAACAATAACTTTATGAGGTGTAAAATCCTATCAAATGGTAATGTGTTTATGAGCGTCATTTTCTCAGCAGGCTATCTTTTTATAATAACTTTTGTATATAATATTTTTGTGTTAAAAACTGTTTATTATTTCCATGGATGTAATTAAAAATAACAAGCTGGAAAGAGGCTCCTGCTATGTGCTGTGTAATCTGATACAGAATTTCCAGTATAGATGTGTTTCATAATCCAAAACACATCATCATTTTAACAAATATTATTGCAACCCTAGGCTTTTGGTTGTGTGGGTGTTGTTCGTCTGTGTTAAGAGGAATAGGCCATTCACTCACTTTAATAACTAAAGCATGAAAAAAATAGTTAAGAGGCTGACAGCTCTTTACTTTGTTGCTAATCACAACAAACCATCCAGTTGAAAGCAAATCCAGTTCAGCAGCAGCTCCATATTTGAGAGGATACGGAGAAGCCCCTACTTTGCGCTGTTGTCTTCAAATCCTGGTTCCCTTAAGCTTCAAAATAATGTAAAAATATATTTCAAAATCAGGCACAGAGTATGGTAACTGTTGACAGAATTAAGTTTTAAAATGAATGAAGCAAATCGCAGATTTTTAGATGTAAGTTTCTAAGAATTTGTATTAGGATGCAGTGTAATATAACTAGGGCTATATATGCCCCAGTGGCCAGCTTTATAGATCTAAAACCTGCTAGTAAACCCATGTCTACAGACTGCAGCAGATCCAAGTGCTTAGATTTCAAGCTGTGAAAATAATGTCCAACAGAGATGCAATCTGTGTAGGTCCCTAGTGAAAGATCAAAGCCCACTCCCAAATGAAAAATCTGCATAGTGTGTATTGGTCACCAAATGACTTAGTGACTTGCACTCCCTTGGAATGCTCTGCTCAGAAGTGGTACAGCAGAAGCACTAATGAGTTCAAAGCCCAGAGGTGGAAGAGATCACAGAGACTAGAGACTTCTGCCTGGAGGAGACAGGAGTGGGGAGGCTGCAACTGGGGAAGATAATCGGGTGTAGAAATTTGACACTTTTACACTTTGGATAGTGGAGAAGCAAAGGAAGAAAAACATTATTGAAAAGAGTATGTATGTAAATACTAAAAGAAAACAGTAGTGTTTACAACTAATACATGGATAAATGAAGTCTTGCTTTTTGTTCTATTTAATAGTTTAGAAAGCCATATGTTTAGAAGTTGACTGCACTATGTGCTCAGAGGTATTGTTTATTTATATTCTATGAATAGCTGAACCCAACCCAGGAAATAAATGGAATATCAGAGGAAGAATTGAAAATCTTTTTTTACTCGTATAGAATCCATGAGACATGTCTTTGGACTTCTATCTCCTAATGCATTGATCTTTTCTATGTTTTTCAGGGGAAAGATCCAGTTTGAAAAAGTTGATATCAGTGAGTTGACATGGGAACAAAAAGAACGTGTTCTGAGATTACTTTTTTCCAAAATGAATGGCACAAACCAATGGTATTATTCAATTTCTTCAGTAGGTGAATGCAAAGCTTTCCCTGTTAGAGAAACAAGGTTGATACCTCTAGGTTAGGGGCTTCCAAGAAACTGAATCTAGCATTACAGCTTCCTGTATGACTTGGTGAAAGGTATTTTTATCTTCTTAGTAGGTTGATATATGCTGGTTTTGAACATGCACCAGACTATACCGTAAGATCTTTGATCTCAGTATCAAGTAAAAGCAAGTAGAAGAAAACTGCTGGTAGTGTGCAGAAAGATAGAGAAATTGCTTTGATTAGTGCAGTGGGAGTAATTTTGTTCAGTTATTAACAAATTCCTACCTATTTTTACCAAATAATATATATGATGACAGTAGTACTCCCCATATATTTCCTTTTAATCAGAGCACCATAAAGCAATCTGCCCAGTATTAAAAAAATACAAATGTTCATAAGCAGGTTACTGCAAGTACACTCATCCTGTGATTCGTTGCTGTCAGTATAAGAAGATTATGAGCGGCATTTCAGAGATGTCTAAAATATGTCTCACACTGGAAATTCAGAAGTTAATCATCATTAAATACAGTATAAGCTATGAACTGAATAAATGACCGTGCGTATAAGAGGACCTAAATATAAGTCTAAAATGCTGGTCTTTTTCATGTATTTTGGGAGAGCTAATGCTGAACATGTAAGTCACCTCTTTTAATTTAAAAGCACTGGTTAGAATGCATAATTTACAAAAGATACACTAATAGAAAGTTAGCCAATTTTGTTGCATTTTTTTACAGCAGGAGTAAAATATGTGTAATTAAGTGATTTGTCCATGAGCACATGCAGCTTTTATAATTCCAATTTATGCATGAATTTAACTCTTTATTACTATTTGCCAATGTACAAGAGCACATGTAAAGCTGTATAGTATGAAAGCCTGAAAAAAGGAACACAAACATTTCGCTTTAATTAGACTTTAAGTTAAAAACAGGTTTTATTTATTTTTTAAATAAAGGTTTTGATAATTTCAATGATTGCCGATATAAAACAGCTATCTCGTGTGTATTTCATGTAATATTATTCTATTAGTATTCAAAGAAAAGTAGTTAGGAGTTTTTCAGATGCAACTATCATCTGTTTTTCGAGGGCATGACAGTGTTTTATTTATTTGTTGATCATTTGTCTACACATATTCTAACTTACAGTCATTCTTATTTTATGTCAAACTGTGTCAGTTTTATTATGTCTGTTAAGGGAATAAATCTGTTGACTGGGAATCAGAAAGGAAATTGTACTGATGAATTAATATATTGTTCAATCTCTGTCGGTGACTATGATAGCCTTCACAGTTGAAGGGATGATCATTCAGACTCTCCTAAGAGTGAACATGAAAAAGTCATTTCCATGTTTGTACAGCTAGAAATAAGCTAGAGAGCAGAATCTGTTGTGTATATCCAATTTCTGCTTAAGCGCTCCTCATTCACTTCTACTTGTGATGATGTAGCAGCAAGGAATAGAGTTCCATAATGTCCTGAACTGAGGTTCAGATCAGCGTTGATTTTGGATAGGGTACTGTATGTAATAACTCCCGTATCCTAGCATTTCTTGCTTTTCTTTTAGAAAACAGGGAACATAGTTTGGTGTGGGATTAGAAAGCTGGCGGGGTGTAGATCGCCCATAGACAAGGATCACTTTGCACTCATTTCTTCCTCACAGGAAATACAGCAAAGATTTGGCCACTTCAGTTCCTGATGATACTGGAGAAGAAAACAGAGATGGGTAAGATAATGAATTATACCATTCTGTCTACCATATCCACAGCTCCGGATTATTTATGAACAGATGCAGTTACCTCTCTCTCATCTGAACATATATACTGGTATGTTTACACACAAAGAAATGTATGTGAGAAGACAGAAATGAATTCTAGAATTATTTTGAAATTTCTGGTCATTCCAGTCTTTTCATAGCAAGTACTAGGCTCATATAAAAAAATATTGAGAGTTACACTGTTAAATAGTTTTGAGAATCTATATTGCAGTGCCTTCAAGGCAAGGTACTGTTTTAAACAGGAGATAAAAGAGTTGGCAGTAAGATTGCATTCTAGAACAGGTTAAAGAAGTTTATTATGAGATTTTATGGATTTTATGTTCATGTAATATAGAATTTTTTTTTTATGGTGAATGTTGAAATCAGGAGGGTAAATAGGAGGGTGGAAAGCAGTAAGAGCAGTGAGATGAGGCAGGTAAATCATGATCAGTCAGCATCTGCAGCTTGATCTAAAGACATTAACTTAAAAAAAGCACATACAAGATTTATATTTCTAATGCAGTTATTTAAAATCATCTATTTAAAAACTGTCTTTCAAAATGCTGATAACCATAAAAGATGCTTGCACACATGTGAACGATTGTACAAATATTTAGAACACTGTCTGGAAATCTTGCAGCGATACTCCTGCAGTCCCTCAGACATCAGATAAACTTGATAATGAAGACTGGTTTGCTATAGGAGAAGTTGGATTTTAGAACTTCTAGAAGACAGTTAGTAGGTTTTGACAGAGCAACAGGAAAGTCAGAACAGCAATAGACATTAGGAGGAAAATGAAGGTGATCTGAAAGTGAACAACTGTAGACATTATTCAAGCTTACTATTTAGAATTCCTTTCCCATGTGTGTATGAATGAATGTCAATGTGTTAATGGTGATTTACTGAGAATATTTTACCTTTGCAGCACAGAAAATATTCCTCCCAGCCTAACATTCATTACACAGCAGGCTGAATTGTCAGAGTCATCATCTTCTGCACTAATTCTTCCACACATTCGGATGTTCACACCAAAGACTAAGTAAGGCAGCTATATATGCTTCGAATGAACAAGACCAACAGCCACCGCAGTTACTCTCATTGGCACTTTTCATTTGTGAAGTCATCTTGTGAATGATGCTGCTATTTTAAATTTGAAAGTTGCTGCATTGCTGCTTTGACTGTCATTTGAAATCAGCCTGAAATATGCCTTAAGTATTTGCTTCCTTCTTAAGCAAAGATTTTATTCTTTCCCAAGGCAGAACCTAGGATGACCCCTGTACAATTTCTTTGGATTAATGGTTGCAACTCTCTGTGATATAATTTGATTAAGATATCTTTTCACTTTGTAATAAAATCATTCGGATACAGCATAAGAGATTTTGTAATCGAGTGATGTAAAAACAGAAACAAAAGAATCCTTGAAATGCTATATGAAATGAGATTGGTTCGGAGTGCCTTGAAACACTGTAAAGGAGGTTGGATAACGTGTTAGAGGGGCCATTGACCAGCGTCCGCGAAGAGGGTAATAAAGTGAACACTACCTGTATAATGTTTGAACAAGAACAATCATTTGCTGCAGAAATGTATTAGCAAGTTTTTAATTCATAAACAAATTGCAAAGATGAGAATCTCCCTCTAGGGTACAATAAAGAGAAAAAACAAGATATAAACATTAGTGGATCCACATCAGTTGCACTAATATACAACTGTCAGTAACAAAAGGTATCCTTATCAGAAGGCAGAATACAAAGTGTTCACATTCAGCTTTTTTAATTAGAAAGAGTCATGATTAGAATTATTCGAATATTATTATTTTCCATGGGTGTTTGGATGTGCTTCCTGCAGGTCCCTAACTGCTGCATCACCTTCCAAATAAAAGGAATAAAAAAATATAGGATCTCCATCTCTGAATGCACATATTATAAGGACAGGGTCTGCTAAGACTTAACCCTCTCTACTAATGGGATCTGCAGTCCCTGGAGGATGATACTGTGTATTTGAGCAAAAGTTAACAGAGTCAAACAACCAACACAAGCACTACAACTATAATCAGGAAAATTCAACAAGAGAACAGGCCTGGCTGCTTTCTGATTAAAAAAATATATAGATGTGTGTGTATATATATATATATGTATATTCTTTCTTCCATCCTACTGATCCTTCAATGTCTTGACACTCAAAATGAGTGTTAATTGTTTTGAGTAACTCGAAATGTAAGATAAGGAGATAAAGAAAACTGCCACAAAATGTAGCCAGTAGTAAGTCATTAAGGCTAAAGATATAGAAGTGGGAAACAGAGTAATGTTCAATTTGAGAGTCTGGAAAGAAATGTAAACTGAGGTTAATCTAACTGTTAATCTCAAACTTTCAGTTCGATAAGATTGTTTCCTCTGCTAAAGGTTACCAAAAGAAATTTGAATTCAGTTACAGAAACCCCAGACTGTGTTACATGAGTTTGCCCGATTTAACCAGAAACAGAGGCCCTTGAGCAAAATGGAGCTGTCTATTCATTCCCAAGCAAAAGGTGATAGTCAGGGCAAAGCTGGGAAAGTGTCTGCAGCACAGAAGGAAAAGGGCACCAGCGACAGCATCTGTAAAGGCTGATTTAGTTCCCCATAGTTGGCATAACCACAGCAGGCTTGGTAACAGTGGCATCTTCCTCTTTCCATTGAGAAATAACAGTTTTCAGCTGTGTGTAGAACTGCACTCCCTGGAGAAAAAGAAGAGGCACAGAATCAGGTGTTTGGCATTATGATTTTTTCAGGTCTGCACCAAGCAGTTTCCACTACATCTCCATAGGACTGAGTTTTCCTTTTTGGGAGCCATTCTATCACCCCCACTCCTTTACCAGTTCCCCAAATTCTGGTGCTGTAAGAAAGCTTGCTACTCAGTTCTCAATCCCTTCTTAAATCTCCACTAACAAGGTTATGAGTACCTCATCACAGCCATTTCTAACACGATTTATTGCAATTCAATCTAATCGACTATTCTGAATTAGTTACCTGTTTGCCATAGAAATTGGTGTCTCCTCTGAAAGAAGCACGAGAGCCGGTGAAAGAGAACATGGGCAAAGGTACTGGGATTGGAACATTTACACCCACCTAAACCAAAGGAAAGTTGCCATGTTAATCACAAGAAGAAAAGTAGCAGAGCGCAGAACACTCTCCATAACCTGCTGCATTTTGCTTCTCTAAATCTGAGGTTGTGTACTGTTGGCTGAATGGTTACTGAGCAGTCACCATAGCCAGATGGTAAATGGTGAGCTCTAACGGCAACAATTCTAACTTTAACCTACCTGCCCCACATCTACTAAATGGGAATATTTCCGAGCTGTGGCTCCATTGGTGGTAAAGATTGCAGTTCCGTTTCCATAGGGATTATTGTTCACCATCTCAATTGCATCATCTAAATTGTCTGCTTCCATAACCACTAAGACAGGCCCGAAGATTTCTTCCTTGTAGCAAGTCATGTTTGGCTGTCAAGACAAAGAACAGACAAATCAGCTTGCGTGAGCTCATACCAAAGAGCCAAGCACACATGCCACTCCTGCCCAGAACACGCTGAGGATCACCCAGCAGCCTGCACTGCCACAGAGCATCCTCCTTGCCCTTCCACCACCTCTCATGCCCTACCAATTATCTGTCGTCTACAAAAAGGGGGTACCGCTTTTCATCTCCAGTTTGCTTTCTGCTTTTCCTACCTGTCTGCTTTCAGTGATAGGTCTACTCTTTGAACACAGCAAATTAAGACCAGGATTAATTCAGCGTAGTTTACTTCTTTTTTTTTTTTTTTTTTTTTTTTTGATGCAACCTGCATCTTCTCAGTCTTGGCAGTTAACTATTTGCACCATCCACATTTTTTCTACCCATCTTTTCCCCATTCCCCAGCATCCAGTGCACCCATGCTGCCCTCTGACTGCAGTGTACTTCATTCACGCCCCCAGTCAGATTTCATAACATTCTCAGGCATTTAAAAAACAGTAATACAAGTGCAAAACACAATTTCGACAAGTTGCAAGTTTTACGTGGCTATTATTAATTTTACTGCTGTATAACAAAGAATCACAAAATTTCAATGCCACTTTTAATTGTGAATGGGAAAACCCTGCAATATTTATGATGCACCAAAGGAAGCAAAAAGATGTTTAATGAGAACGAGGCAAAAAAATCTAAGATAGTTTAAAAGCCTGAATTATATAATAACACTTAAGTACATGAAATCCTAGGAATATAAAGTACAACAGCAGAATTATCAAAACTAGGCTGCTGCCATGGAATCACTCACCACAAGGTCTAAAATGAAGAAATGATACAGCAAATTGCATAAAAATAATAAAAAAGTAATTTATATATGAAAAACACTTGGGATGTGGTTGCACATTATGCATTATGCTGACTCAGTAAAGTTGTGAATATATTCGCCAATACAGAAATTTTGTAGTTTATCCTATCTCCTTCTTGCAAAGGTTTTGGCAAAAAACAACTTTTAGTTCATTAAGTTCTTGCTTAAGTTGCAAAGTGCAGGAGGGTATAATGAAGGGAAGAAAGCTGGATTTTTGACTATTCCTCATACTTTTCTTTAAGCATCTGCACTGGCCAACAGGATACCAAGTTTTATGGTAATACTAACTGATCATGTTTCTTTTGTTTGTTTTGTTTTTCCCTTAATTGGCTTCATTCTATTAAAGCTAAGATTATTAACCTTATTCAATATCTATTACACACCCCCTGGAGTTTAATTAATTGCCTCCACAATAACTTTACAATCAGCATTTCACTGCAGCTATGCAAGGGAAGCCTGAACCCTATCGACTTTTAACCTGGTGATTATTGATTATTGACTTGTTTGGGCAAGCCATGTTTCCAGTGACCCTATGAGATATGGTGTGTGTTGGTTATCTTACTTTCACATTGGCAAGGATCGTTGGCCCAACAAAATTGCCATTTTCATAGCCCTTCACTCTGATATGACGTCCATCCAGAAGAAGGCTGGCACCTTCTTTTACTCCTTGCTCGATCAGATGGCAAACACGTGCCTTAGCCTGGGGACTGATCAGGGGCCCTAGATCTGCACCAGGTTGGTCCCCTGTGAAAAGGCAGAGACATAAAGGTAGGGACATAAAGTTTTTAACACTGACAGCTTCCTCTTCATAGAGAGCAAGCAGGTAACCACATTGCCAGTAATGATCCTTTTGAGACACAGAACCCAGATCTGGGCCATTAATGAACAGAAGTACTGGCCTGCTCCCAAAATCAGCAGATAATCTCTAAGTGTAAATTCAAGAGCTGACTAATACCATGCCGAAGATCAACTTTGGGCACTTCAAAATTTTGTAAAAGCCTTGCTAAACAAGAGTGGTCAGAAGTAGCAAAGGTTCATCTTCACTTTTGTATACATAAAATAGCTATTAAGAACAAGTTTAGCCTGCAGCCAAAGTGAGCCAGTTTAGCCTTTGATTGTTAAACAGTGCCAAAAGACACTGCAATATGTCAGATAGAAAGACCTAGAAAGCCAGTTACGTGCAAGCCAGCTACCTGACAAAAAACTATCAGTTTGTACCTGCATTAACACGTAGATTTTTGGCTCTCTCCACAAGTTCTGGCAGCCATTGCTGTGATTCTGCCACTAAGATTGCTGTAGACAGGGCCATGCAGCGTTGGCCAGCTGCTCCAAAAGCAGCTCCAACCAGCTGGTTCAAGGTGTTCTCTTTATTGGCATCAGGCATCACCACACCATGGTTCTTGGCTCCCTGTAACACAACACATACCCAGCCTCCCATTATTAGCCACTCTGCCCACATCTTCTCTAGCTCTGTGATAGTATCATAGAATCATAGAATGCTTAGGGTTGGAAGGGACCTCTAGAGATCACCTAGTCCAACCCCCCTGCATACGCAGGGACACCTAGAGCACGTGGCACAGGACTGCATCCAAGCGGGTTTTGAAGATCTCCAGAGAAGGAGACTCCACAACCTCTCTGGGCAGCCTGTTCCAGTGTATGTCCATATAGTAGCTATGACTCTGCCACCACCAGCCTGGTAAGAAGGGAAGCCTCATCACTAAACAAACTCTCAGTAGCAAAGTCAGCTGCTACTGCTGAGGAGAGTGGCCTGTCTTAACATGCACATGAAAGAGGCAATCTGTGTGCAGAAGCACGCTCTGGTCAGAGGTATTACCATGTTGGCCTGGACCCTCTTGCCATTCCGGGATCCTCTCTCATAGATGTACTCGCCAGCCTGATTAGATCCCACAAAGCTGATTGCTTTGATATCCGGATGGTCACAGATGAAATTCACAGCTTCAAATAGGAAATAATACATTATGTACAAATGCTTCCCTCTGTTCCCATCCCTATACTGCAAGATCTGTACTTCTTTTCATCTAAGCTCTTGCCTCTGTGTTTCCCACATTTAAGGTTCTCTGCTGCCTGCCCATGTATCTCTCCACTCTGATTCCTCAGCATCTCTGCCACTCTGCTCATATACCTGGCTCTCCACCACCACTTCACCCTCTGGGCACCAAGTATCCAAATTCCAGGTGCTTCGAACCATCTATCTGACAGTGAAACCTAGGCCCACTTCTGCAAGTGACTAAATAATCTAGATATTCCCTCTGAATCCCAACTAGTTTCTCCCTCTTCAGCCCTGCCTATTGGCATCCACAGGACTCCCACTTTCAAATCTGTCTCCCATCTCTCCACTTCAACTCTGTAACAGCCAGTAATCTAGCAGAGAAAACAATCAAAGTAGGTGCCCAGAGTTAAGTTTCCTAAGTCATATTCCAAGGCTTAAAGTGATGTTTTCCAAAGTGCCCAAGTGATATTGAAGGAAATTTACTGTCAACCTCTGTATTCTTGTGTTCTGGAGCCACTTGACCACTTCAGAAAATACACCACTAGGTGCTACAATACTGATATCCACTGTATATTCTGTGAGGCACATAGGTACTTCACTGTTGTTTAGGCTTCTTTAGAAAACCGAGGTGATTTATCTACTTATTTCAGTTGTAACTTAGCTAAATAGAATTTGAGCACTTACACACTGTGGTAATTCTAACGCTCAACTTCCCAAATTTTGGCCATACTATCTCCTGGAAGATTGGATGCAAGTTGCATTGACTCAGTCACCTCCCTTATCAGGCTCAAGTACCTTTCCAGACCTATCTCTACTCCAGACTCTCCAACTTCTTTACTATCTTCTCTGAATACCCATATATCACAATGCCTATATGCTCCAGCCATCTCCCAAGAAGGGCTACTGTTACCTTCATGCTGTCCATGGATGATATTCAGGGTCCCATCAGGGGCACCTGCATCTTGAAATAGCTTAGCAAGGAACATGAGCGCTCCTGGAACACGCTCAGATGGTTTCATCAAGAAGGTGTTTCCACAAACCATAGCCATGGGGAACATCCAAAGAGGAATCATGGCTGGGAAATTGAACGGTGCAATTCCAGCACACACTCCCAGAGGCAGACGGTAGGTGTGAGTGTCCATGTCTTTAGTGATGGAGGGCATGGTCTCTCCCAGAATGAGGGATGTCACACTGCAGGCATGTTCAACCACCTCTGCAGCAGAAAGGTCAATATGCTACTGGGTGATTTGTTAATATTCAAGCCCCAAACTCCCTTCTCACCCCTGTCTTGACCCAAATCTTCCTTCCAGCCTCTTTCCCCACAATTTAAAGTCATTACGCTCTGGAAAGTCCCTTTGCTCTGCCAAGCATCGTGAGCTGTTTGTGAATGGTTTCTCTCCTGAGTGTGTTATATTTTTGTGTGATAGGAGCACAGATACAACAGCCCCAGTAAAAGAAGTAGATGTAGTACATGATGCAGTATTGCTATACCATCTGTAGTACAGATGTAGTATTGTTATACCATCTGGAACTCAGTGTCAGATACCTGAACACAAGCAGGAAGTTCCTATTGCTTTAGAGACAGTTGTAGTTAATTATCAGAAAAGGAAGAGAATAACAACTTGAAAGTAGTTCTTAAAAATATAGATCTAATGAAGGTTTTCAAGTTAGAGCTCCAATTACTCTTCCTTCACAAGGAAGTTGGGAAGGGAGCTACATGTACAGACTCCTAGAGCAGTTGTTGCTCAGGAAACTACACCCCTTCCCATGGGTTCCGAAGCACTTGCTAACAGGAAGAGCCAGCTGCTTACGGAGGCCTCGGAATACGTCTCCTTCAGCATCAGCCAGGGTCTTCCCTTGTTCATAGGTGATGAGTTTTGAAATTTCTTTCTGAAAATGAAAAAACAAAAAGTTTGTGACAGTTTGGAAAGGACCTGCCCATGAGGTACAATGGAGGCACAGGACATGTGGCTTAATAGAGCTGAATGCCAAAGTGATCAGACTGAGTAGAGCCTGAGAAAGATGACACCAGTTGTTTTGTTCCTTGTATACAAGAACCTAATAAACCACACAGGTGACACTGTAAAAATGAAACTGTGGAGTTGGCTTGTATTCTACAGCTATTGTGTCACACCGAAGATACCCAAAGACACACAGAAAAGGCAGGCTAGGGTAACAGAAGACCTAGCAGCATACTTCTCCCACTATTTTTTTTGTTTGTTTGTTTGTTTGTGATTTTCTCTCAACTGGCACATTCTCTATCAAGGTTCAAAGTTCCTCCCACAATATTTTGAGAGAGGAATTAATGCAGAAGAATATTCCCCAACAAGATGCCTTTTTGATCTCACTTGCCTGAAAACTGCTTTTCTACACTCTCAGTTATGGTGCCTCTGTCAGCTCCTGAATCCAAGGGAATGTTACCCCACCAAGGGCTCAGAAAATTTAACAGTTTGAACCAACTTCCTAGAATTGACTGTCATGCATTCAGAAACAACCGTGAGACTCAGCTATAGGTAACTTACCAGATTGTCTTTGATAAGTTGTTGATAACGCAGGAAGATTTGCTGGCGACTCAGAACAGATGTTTCTGACCAGTTCAAAAAAGCCTTTTTGCATGAAGCCACAGCAGCCTCCATCTCGCTGGATGTGGCCTTTGGTACTCGACCAACCACTTCATTTGTTGCCTGGAGGGAAAAAAACAAACTCTATCAAAACTCAACTTTCTCCAACTACTGCTGTAAACTATTTGACTGTTCTTTCAAATCACACCCCTGATATCCTTATTTTAAAAGGAAAGCACAAAAAAGCCTCCTTTCTTGGTGCACCTGAAAGACACAGGCTACAACTGGAGTTCTGTGTATTCAGTAGTGATTTCCAAATGCTTTTGTTGAAGTGGCTTCTCTGACATAGTACATCTTTCAGCTTTAGAGTGCATAAGGCAAAGGTGTCTGTGGACTTTGTCCTTTTCCCTCTCCACTGTCTCGGCTCATCCACTGTTTCTCCTGTGTGTTTAATGAAGCAAGGGTCCTTTGAAAAAAAGTAGCATGTGATTGTGCAATTTGCATTCACGTAATAGCTCACCTAGATCAGTAGGCAGATGTAAGATTTTATGATCAACTTCAGCTGTACAGTATTTTAACTTTTAAAACCCACATTCAGCAGTTCAGACTCCTTTCAGTGCCCTCTTAAAAATTAAATCTGTTTCGACATAGCAAAACCATTGCTAAGAGAGAAACTACTAAGGACAGGAGCAAACAAAATGAAGCAAGAACACTGGATGTTCCACAGAGAGCACACAAGCTTCATGAACACTGCTCGGATCACATCCACAAAGCATATCAAAATAAGGCTTCTGAGAGAAAATTTTCAGAAACTGCGGTCCAAATGCTTCCTGCAAGGGTCAGACCCTTGAACATGATCTTGTTTCCATTTGTTTTTGGTTGAGGACTGCATGTCCTTTCCCTTTTACCAAATGATTCAGCAGAGGCACAGACCCTTGCTGCACAGTGACTGCCGATACACACGCAGAGGCCATTTTACTTACTGGGTTGTGGATATCGATCCATTCAGTCGTTTTGGACTCAACAAACTTCCCATCAATGAACAGTTTCGTTGTTGGCTGTGGAAGACAAAACCCTGGACAGTGAGTGATCTTTATCTCAACGTCAAAACAAATGTGCTTTATGATGGGCAGGCCTTCCCTGCTCACTTCTACAATGCCCATTAGAGGGCCTAGTCCCCATCCTTCACAGCTCTGCCCAGCTAAGTGTCCTGGCTGAAATTTTCATGCTGCCCTTTCCTCAGCCCCACTGGTAAAGAAACTGGCCCTAGTTCTTTTCAAAAACAGTTCAAGAAAAAAAGCACATTGTTATGCTTATATTCAGAAATATTTCAATCTACTTAATCAGCTAGAATATACCAAGTGAGAAGACTGAAAAAACAACATTTGTAGATGTTCAGAAAAAAACGGTGAGTAATTCCCCCTTGTGAGAAGGCCGTGTAGCCAGTGCAGACTGTAGTACATGCTCCTTCCCACCGAAGCACGAAGCCAGTTCAGCTCCCCAGCACACGGGCACAAAGCCGGACGATCGTTTGTCCTTGGAACTAAGGGCAAGGAACCTACACCTGCGGGTTCACAGCGGCTGTCCCGGCAGGCAGCACGAGGGACAGAAAGTAAAGTGGGAAGTGCGGAGAAAAGCAGAGTTTGGAATAAGAGCTCAGCAAAATGTAGGGCAGTGGGAAAAGCAGAGATAGAGGCTGTAATTAGCACTGGATAAGCAACAGGACTATAGCAAGCAGGAAACCAGAATGGGGTGGCATAAATGAAGGGACTGGTAATGAACAGTACAGAGTTGATACAGAGAGGTAAGGAGAGAAACAGGAGAAAGTGGGAACCTGTTAATCATGGAGAGAACAGCGAGGAAGGTTAAAGAACTGCAGGGAAATGAGGCCCAGAAAACACTGGAATGGGAAGAACCAATAAGATAAGAGGAAGTGGACCTGTGGTATGAACAACACAAATGGGACGTATCTGACAAAAAAAAAAGAGCTAGAAAAAAAAAGGGGGGGGGGGGGCTGTGGGAAGGAAAGAAATTAGGCTATGGAATTATGATTATGATTATTATTATGATTAGATTTGGATGCAATCTGAGGTGTCATGAAGGGACAGAGATGAGAGGAAGAATTGACAAAAGAAATGGGGTTGGCTACATAAGCATGAAAGTGAAAATTGGATGTGAGTAGCAAAAAAAATGTGAAAAGAGTGAAAAGCAGTTAGAGTTGGGATAAGATGAGACACTAAGACTAAAATGAGACATGTGGAGCAAGACTGGTGACGGATAAGCAAGACCTATTGATTTGGGAGGTAACACAGGAGGGGTCCAAAATTAAACACTGCAGCTGATATTACACCCAGGGAAGACAGGCAGGATAATCAGTGCCTACGAAATCACATTCCCCTCTAGGCCTTAAAACTAAGAGCAAGAACCCGTCTGGTTCCTTCACTGTCAGCAGAGGTCTCCCGACTCTGCTCTGAATAAGGAAAGACAAAACCCCCGGGGCTATCGGTTATCCCGAGCCCAAGTGTTGCAGAGCTGCCTGCAGGGCACGTCTGGGCTCCAAAGCTGCGCTGCCCGCGCGCCCCGGCACAGCGGGGCTAAGTCTTTCCACACTGCTTTAAAAAAGATACCTAGGATATCTAAGACACCACATGCAAAGGAAAATTACACTACACAATTTAGGAACAGATGGAATTATGACTGATTGCACTTGTTCCATAGGACCTCCCCCCCCACCCTAACTTTATTTTCTGTAGGGAGCAAGGATTTGGAAAGTGTACAGCCATGGGCAGCAGAGGAGATAGGCACCTAGAGCAGCTAACTCAGTTAAATACTTAACTTACATAAATACTTAAACACTGCCCTAAGCAGATGAGGATCCGTCTCTGCGCCTCTGCCCCGGCGTCGAGCCACGCGGGGCTTCACGGGCGCTTCTCCCTCCCGTCCCGCTGCTGTGCGCGGGGGCCGGCAGGCAGCAATCCCGGGGCAGCAGCCAGGGCGCCTCCAGGAACGACCCTGAACGAGGGGCCTCGAGAAGGCCCCGGCGCCGCCCGCCCGCGGCGCTGCCCGCGGCGCGGACTCACCACGGAGGAGGAGGAGGAGGCGGCCGAGGCGATCCAGGGGGCACCGGCTCTCCGCGGCAGCTGCACGGGAGGGAAGCGCACGGAGCTCGGTTGCGGCGGCGCTCCCGGCGC